TCTTTCCCTTTCTCTCTTTTGCTCTGGTCAAATTTAATAATAATAATAATCAACAATTATTTAAAAATAAAGAAAGAGAAGGGAGAAAGCTGGGCTACAAAGAATAGTCTTATGGGAGGGAAAAAAGAGGAGTCCTTTGTACTAGTTAGGTAGTACAGGATAGCTAGTATACCAGAGACCCACAGACCCAATTATACCATGGCTTACAGACATAACTTGATTTCCCTCTCATCAAACAGTCCAGAAATAGCAGTCCAGAAATGTGGGAAGGCTTTGCTCTGCACTGCAGTCTTTCAGACATGGAAACCTACTTTTTCACTCCTCGATTCCTTAAAGTGTTATCCCTCACTACATGACCATAGCTAGGTTACTGCCATATGAGCCTTTCAATATAGTGGAATTGGGGAAGGATGGAAATGGAGAGCATTTTTTTCCCCAAAGTATCATGGAAGTTTTGCCTATATTTTCCAGGCAAATTTAGCCATTTCTAGCACAGGAAGTTGACTCTGTAACTGTGGAATAAGGAGAGACAGATTTGGAAAAACTGGTATTGTTTGACTTTTCATGGAAACAAATGTGAAAAAAAGGGTCCAAAGTTGGTAGCATGCTGACCATCGTTAAGAGACTTGAAGGTTGGGACCAGCAGTTGGTGTAATGGCTATGTTGCTGGACTCCCACGTAGTCGACCACAGTTCGCGTCTCGGACCCGGTGGCTTAAAACTCACGCCGGGCGCGCGTGCGTGCCCAAGATCCCTAGAGGAGAATGGAGGAGAAGGGATTGTGGCGTGGCCATCTCCCCTGGGGGGTGATTTCTTGCTTTCTGTCTCTGTCTCTGTCTGGCCAGCGCACAAGCCCTATAGCAAAAAAAAAAAAAAAAAAAACTTCTCCAAAAAAAAAAAAAAAAAAGAGACTTGAAGGTTACCTGAGAATGATCCTACCCAGTTTTGCCCACTTTTGCCACACCTTGACTTGGTGAGACCGAGTTCATTCACTTCAAGTGTCTGTGATGAAGAACCTGAAGAGATTTCTACAGTCAAGACCTTATGAGGGCCACCTCTGTGGTCTAGTGGTTAAGGGGACTGGATCCCACATGCCTGACTTTCTTACTCACCCAGCAAAGGCTGGGAAAGAGGGTAGGGCTAATGCTTTGCAAAGTCTAAGGCGCACAATTCTTATGCTGTCTGTGTGAAATCCTGATGTTGTACATTGGTCTATTTGAGTGAGGGGGCATGACCTGAAAGAGAGGTATTTTTTTCTCATTGTAAGACTGACCTGCATTCCAGTACCATCTAAACTAGTAACATGGGAATAAAGAATGAATACTATGAAGCCAGCAGGTGGCATGGTGATTAAGGCAATGGGCCCCCACATGGCCAACTGTGGTTTGAACCCTGGACCTGGAGGGTTGAAAATCACGCTGGGCATGTTTAGATGCATGCCCAAGATCCTGAGAGAAGACTAGAGAAGAAGGGATTGTAGTGTGGCCATCCTCCCGGGGGGGAGGGGGAGGAAATTCTCCTCCCTCCCTCTCTCTCTGTCTCCAGCGAGATGTGCCCTATGGCAAAAATCTATTTAAAAAAAAAGAAAAATAAGGAATGAACTCTAAAAAGGCTAGCATTCTTTGTGTATCAGAAGGGTAGGAGTTCCACATTACCTCTGTAGGAGGCATTTTAGGGTGCTCTATTATGCAGGAAAAAGAGAAGCTTCTTGAAAAGGTTGAGAAAGTTAATACACACACATCTTTGGCTACTGAAGGAGGTTCACTTACTCAGGTTTACAGTCAGGAACATTCCACAACCAAAGAAACAATAGACAGTGTTTGTTTCTCCAAAAAGGGAAATGACCTAATAGCTCCAAAGTCTTACTCCAGTTTTGAAAACAAGTACTGAATATTTAATAATATTTCTTATACTTTAATTTTTTAAAGCAATCTTCTATGTCCTTGAGGAGCAAAAAAAAAAAAAAAAGATGTAAGATGTAGCACATTTATATTTGTTGGCCATAATACTAATTACTATTTATCAGATTCCTTTACATATTAGGAAAAATATATAATGTGTAAGTATAACAGATCACATGCATAATCTCTATCTGTACAGAATGATGATTTCATTCTGAGGCAAAATACTGAGATAAACATGGCAATTTCAAAATAAAATATATATTTATATAATATATAAAAAATCTAAACATATTATAAAATACATAACATATACTTTAGATATAATACATATTTATAATGTATTTGAATATCTATCTATATATAATAAATACGGAAACTATTTCTCACAAAATCTTTTTTCCCTTCCAACTAATAATAGTTACTTTTTCACCTAGGTACATTTTTTGAAAAGAAGCCTCTGAAAAACTTACAGCTGTTGGATTTGGCGGGAAATTGTGTGAGCAGTGATGGATGGCTTGCCTTCATGGGTATATTTGAGAATCTTAATCAAATAGTGTTTTTTGATTTCTCTTCTCAAGGATTTTTCCCTGATGCAGCCTTGGTCAGAAAACTTGGCCACGTGTTATCCAAGTTAACCTTTTTGCAAGAAGCGAGGCTTCTTAAGTGGTACTTTGATGATGATGATCTAAGTGTTATGAAAGGTGCTTTTAAATTAGTAACTGGTAAATAAAGAATACCCTATGTCAATGAGTGTTCTGGGGACCCTCAGTAATTTCAGCCTGATGATTAAAAAAATCTTACAAAATGAAGAGAAAAATGAGGACGTGGGAGTTTAATGTGATGCACAACAGTTCTGTCTCATCTGTCCCAAGACTATCAGCTCCTTTAAGGGCTTTTGTTTATCTTTGTATTACCCTTGACCTCAAGAATACTGAGTCTTGAAATTGAGATCTGTATGCATATCTACTTAGTATACTGCCTGGAATGTAATCGACTACACAAGTATTTGCAGAATATGAAATTAAATTACTAATGAATAGTTATTGAATAAAGTTACAAACCAAAAATTATTTAAAAGCAAAGCAAAAACTCCATGTATGGTCTTTAATTCAAACAGTTTAATTCAAACAATCTGGAATGTAAAAAGCACTTTCTCATATGAGATCAGATTTCTCAAAAAGATAGACATTCTTTTGTCATGCAAAAATCGGCAGTTTACAACAGCTAAATCAGAGGCTTGAAATTCAGGTCTTCTCTTATAGCTGGTACATTGTATTTATGTCCAACCACAACTTCAGAGTGAGGAAGAATGGGAAAATATATCCCATTCTTTTGTACACTATGGAAGCTAGGAGTAACCTACCCTAATCTTTCTCCAACACTCCCCAAAATAATCCTTCCTCAGAAAGAAGTCTAAAACACACACACACGTGCGCGCGCACACACACACACACACACACACACACACACCATCAAACAACTTTTTAACCTAAACAAATTTAAGCCAAGGCAAATCTAAAAAATAAAAAATAAAGAAAGAAATGAAAAACCTACATGGTGTTACCCTGCAGTTCACTTTCTCTTTTCATGGCACCTCAAATTAATGGCTCACACACACACACACACACACCATCAAACAACTTTTTAACCTAAACAAATTTAAGCCAAGGCAAATCTAAAAAATAAAAAATAAAGAAAGAAATGAAAAACCTACATGGTGTTACCCTGCAGTTCACTTTCTCTTTTCATGGCACCTCAAATTAATGGCTTGGGTGTTGGTGTAGGCAACACTTGGCCTGTATATTGAGGTAGTCACTAGAAATAAATTCTGGGCACAATGTTTGTTTAGCAGTGTTTGTTTGGGCACATATTTTACAGATTTAAAATTTTCATAAAATTTTAGAACAAGTATTTTACAGATCAACTAATTAATCCCCCTCCCAACATTATAAATGAAAAGCTCAGAGAAGTTACAAGATTTGCCCATGGCCAAGTACTTACCTAGTAGTAGCCTTTGGGGCTGGAATCCAAATCTCCTGCCTCCTAGTCCACTGTTTTTTTCCATTACAATATAATGACTTAAAACTGGATTAATCACACTTCAAGGAGCTTACTCTTAATCACAAACCAAGGGCTGAGAATATTTAAATCAAACTTCCTTCTTTGTCTACCTTAAGTGACTCTATGGTAAGATTTACTAGTAAGGTTGCTGCCTAAAGGCCTATGCTGGGTAAGTTTCTTATTTTCCTATTCAGAAGTCAGCCAGAGCTTGGCTAGTATTATACTTCTCTATCTGATAACACACGAACTAATTCTACCAGCAACAGTTGGCATTGCTGATTTTGAGCAAGTAGAGCCAATTCCTTCACAACCCACGGGCAACTCGAAATGTCCTTACTCAAACAGTGTAGGTAGGTATGCAAGCACCTTTGGTGGGGTAGTTGAAAAGTTGTTGCCTTTGAATGGGTGTTGAGGAAGTAGGCATAGAACCTCACACAGAACTATGTCTGTTACCTGAACACTTAAAATCCCATGGGGATAAAGACGGCATGTATGGGGTGGCTGCACATAGTTGTTAATCATGCTTATTAGTACATGGTAGTTCTTCAGATTTCATGCATGACCCCAATTCACATTTAGACAAGGTCATTGGAGGAAATCACCCTGTAATAGTAGACCAATAACAGGAATAGTAATAGTTGAACAACATAAAATAAAGGACAGGTTGCCATATTACATTTCATAAAGCTTCATTTTCCCCAGTAGCAAGGCAGCATGAGCTGTGTTTCTTCAGCAGGTCAAATATTTGAACAGGTTGCAGATGCCACAGACAATGACCAACTCCTCACCAAGCAAGGTAGTTAGGACATAGTCACTTATTACCATAAATGACTACAGTCTACTTGACAGAGATGATTTAGTGGATATTTGTTATTCCACTATGAAGAAACAGGGTCTGAAAGTGTTATTCCTATGTAAAAGATGATGAGTTGACTGAAGAAACTGATGCAAATTCTACAAGAACTAAAATTTTCTCTAGATTACTGATAGCCGGGGAAGTAAAAAACCATCCAAGAGCACTGAATTGTAGAAATGTCAAAGTTCCCTTTCAAAATCCCTTTTTAAAATCATAATTGAAAACTCATAATAAAAGGAAAGAAACAAAAACTCTTACAAGGAACACATGGCTGTTGCTTGTTATACTTTTGGAAGTAATACTGGTTAAACTGGCAAGTCCTTGAATACAACCAAAAAATAAAATAATCTACACGATTGTCTCACTTCATCACACATTTAACAATTCACTATTTTTGACAATGCAAAACAAAGTTAAAAACCTTACTACAGACCTAACAGTGGTGTATTCTATAATCTAAGGTCCATTATGCTTTGGTAAAATTATATAAATTATAATACTCAAATTCTTTATGCAACTTTGAACAGATATTAAATTCCAAATATGTATGGAATTTCATATATTTTGGTAACATATTTGATATATCCTGATAATAAAGTGAGAAATTAAAAAGTCAGCTAGTGAACAGGTGACAATAAAGATAAATTTTATCATAATGCACTTGATTAAATATAACATAAAAGCTGGGATTCTTTCATTGCAAATCATTGAAGGTTTGGTATCCATTTAATCAAAATAAAACATGGAGGACCATGGACTATTGGACTATTTATAAATGTGTTGAAATTTTTTAATAAGAAAACTTCTTTAACAAAGATCCTGATCATTAAAAAAAAATTGTGTTAGATAGTAGACTGTGTTCCAAAATTTCTGTTTAAAAATTTTGCTTTTATTTTGTAAGGTCTAATTCAGGAGGACCTCAAAGACAAATGTAGCAAGTAAGTTTGGAAAAGCTATAAAAGAGACTAACTTTTCAAATGAATTTTTTTTCCCTTTCCTAAAATGTGTATTATTCAAGAAGCATGTTTATAAATTTCACTGAAGAAAATATTGTATTCTTAGTAATGTGACAGATCTACTCCATCAAGTGGGTCACTTTTTTTTTCTTTTCTTTTTTTGGAGAGGCTTTTGCTATAGGGCGCATGCACTCGCCAGACAGACAGAGAGAGACAGAGAAACAGGAAGTGAGAAATCACCCCCCGGGGGGATGGCCACGCCACAATCCCCTCTCCTTCATTCTCCCCTCAGGATCCTGGGCACGCAGGCACACATGTCCAGCGTGAGTTTTAAGCCACCAGGTCTGGGACTCGAACTGCGGTCACCTACATGGGAGTCCAGCAATATAGCCATTATGCTAACTACTGGTCTCCAAGTGGGTCACTTTTAAAGGTAAGGTTACACTGCAGCAAACTGCAAAACCAAAGATAGCAAAATTCAAATGTAAAGAAACACGCTTTTTACAGGAAGCCTACCTAAAGCCTATAACATTTACAGGGTTCTCACTGCCACAAGTACATTTTACAAAAATATAGTTTCATAGATTTCATGAAATGTGAAGAAGCATATAATTCTCTAACATTTAGAGTAAATGATTGAACAGTCAATGCAAAGTTGGATTACTAAATCAACTGGAAGTCAAAGAGTCAGTATTCCTCATAAAAATAAGTTAGAGAACATCATGGTCTTGGTTGTCCAATTCTACTGTTAGTTCCATATCGACTTGGTATATTTGTAAAACCAGTCCTGAATCCTTGGGTTGCTCCAATTCCTGGAACTCCAAGTCCTTGATTAAACATGCTGCTATAAGGTGTATGTCCATGATTAAACCCCAAACCATAAGGCCTAGTTTGTGTATTTAGAAGAATAACTGGGCTCACATTTTTTCCAGGAGTGTTGAATGAGAATTCTGGAGGTGGACTACTAGGTTTAGCTGGAGTTGATGTGACAGGGTTCAAATCATCAGTACCCTTTAAAAGAGGCATTGGGATTATGTGATGATCTGAAAAGTTCAGGACATTGGCTGCCACAGGTCCAGACAATAAGGCAGGCCTAATCCAATCATCCTTGAAAATTTGAACAGTCAGAGTAGACACTAGTGTGTAGAGCCTGTTGGTCACGTGAGCAAGAACCATTTGTTCATTTGCATCTCGTCGGATTCTTACATGCACTGATCCAGCCTAAAAGGGGCAAAACCACAGGAAAGACACTACTTAGAATTATATCAATGGAAGTGCCATTAGAAATAAACCTTTTACTTGTGATTTGGTCAGTACTTAGTATTTCCATTAAAATGAGAGAAAGCTTAACGATTCGGTATTCTTTTTTTTTTTTTTAATTAAAGTTTTGCATGCTGAACAGAGCAAGAGAGAAAAATAGAAGAGAAAGAAAAAGAGAAAGTGAAAGAGAACGTGAAAAATCACTCCCCAGCAGAGATTGCCATGACAGAAGTCCTTTTCCTCCATTCTCCTCTTGGGATTTTGGGCATGCATGTAATTTTCGAGATGCTGCATCTAGAACTCTTAACTG